TTAATATTTTGGCTTCCCCCTCGGTCTGCACCCACAGGACAGGGGAGGTCACGACCATTTGTCTTCCTGCTGCACTTCAGGGTGCAAAGGAGGGGACAGGAGGGCTGGGGAACCCACAGGAGCCCGTGGAACGGCCCTGCTGCCCCCAGCAATAAAAACCACCGGGAGAGCTGATTGCTGCTTATTGCTCTCATCCATCAGCACCCCGGGCTGGGTGGGGGGGCTGTGTCTGCTCCCCTGGCCCCCAGGCTGGGCCGTTTATTGGAGCCCATCAACAGCTGCCACCTGCAATCTGGGCAGATCAAGCGTAAGCGGGGTGTCCCGAGCCTTTGAAACTTCTGGGCAGCTTTTTTGGGAGGAAAAAAAAAGGAAATAAATAGCATTTTGAAATGTTACAGCCCTTCCTGTCACTCCAAGTGGACAGCTGGGGGGGGTTGGGGAGGAGGGTTTAAGAGGGGGGGGGGGTTGATTTTCAAAGGAATCAACACAAAACAAGCCTTTTCCGAACAGAAAAATTCCGATCCCGCTCCAAATGTTGAGGAGCCTCGGGATGGCTCCGCTGTCACCTCCTGGGGTTGGAGTCAGTCAGTGCAACTGGGATTCTGGGTGGCTTCAGATAGTGGAGGGTGCCCAGGAATCGCTTGGTGTTTGTTCTCCAGGTTTATTAATTCCTTGAGCCCTGAGAACTCGGTGACTCTGCATTGCAGCTCTGCCATTCCTGTACCAGGTGGCCAAGAAAACAGCTCCCTGACAGCTGAAAATATTGCTAAATATTCCACTTCTTTCCCAAGAAAGCTTTCGGTAAGGAAACAGCTTTTGCTTGTTAAACCACTTCATTTCTTGCTTGGCTTTCTTGTTCAGGACAAATGTTTCCCAAACGACAAGATCCGTAATTCTCCCTCCACCAGCATTTCTCTTACTCAAAATCCTCGTTTGTTTTTTTTGTTTTTTCCCTTTAAAATCCAATTTAAACATTAAAAACCAAATCCTTCGTGCGAGATTTTACGTAACCGCCTCGATTTTTCCCTTTGGGTCAAGGTTTGCTGGACACACAGATGTGTTTGTAGGGAGAGATTCAAGTTATACAATTAAAAAAAACACAAAAAAACAAAAAACAAAAATCAGAAATACAAATGCAGTTTTCCTACGGACTTTCTAAGTGTCCAAACCAGGCAAGATGGGAAGCAAAGGAAGAATTTCTTAAAAACCTCAAGGTTTCCAAACTTGTGGAAATTCTTCACTGAAGGCTTCTGGGCCAATTTACAGGCTGGTGGACAGAGCTCGGGTGGAGGAACACTGCAAGTCAATCCCAACCCACTGCCAATGCCTCTTTCAGGAGGTGAAAATTGGATTCCCACCACCATAATGACAGGGTGGAGTGTCCGTTTGATGGAGCCCCAGATATCTGGTGACTACAGGAAGCCAGATCTCACTGATAAGGGTTCTTTTGCTGCCTTGCAGTTTCCAGCCCAAGCTCTGATTCACAGATTTTACCTCTTCCCTGCCAAAAAAAAAGCCCCTTTCTCCTCAGCACCCCCGGCCTGACAAGCAGCAAAACCGGCGCAGCAGATTAAAATTAGAAAAGTATTATTCGAGCTTAATTGGGAATTAAATTCCGTTTAAAGGATTAACTGGAAGTTTCAGAGGCTGCATTAAAGGTAAATCCCGTTGTTCTAATCAGTTCAAAGTGCCTGGAATTCCTCGGGGAGGTTCCCCCGGAGCACCCCCAGGGCAGGAGCTGCCCCAGGC